TTTAACTGAGATACCGATTTCTTAAGAAGTTGATTCGAATTATAAATCATTATTGGGGGTAGGATATAAACGTTCTTAGGAGTTATAATTTATAGATATGAAACTGGTGGGTGTAGATTTTGCTACATTGCTCGCAGTGTTTCATTGGGCGTAATCCCTTTTTTTTCTTTCTGCTAAAATTAATGAAGACGTACATCGCTTTCTTTTAAAGAGTTAACTTAAGCTTAAAATTTGAAAAATATAATAATTTGCCACATTGGCACGTCTTTGTATACGTAGCTTATTTTAAAATATCGCCAGAAGCATCTGTCTTTAACACATTCTTCCCGTGAAAATTTAAAATGCTCGAGTAACTGAATTAAACATACGACCACAGAAAGGCATGAAAGATTTCCTTACCTGTCCAGCTTTCGGTGTCCGAATTCAAACCAAATTTCGAATGATTTTCGAGGTAAAACAGAATTTTTATGCTATTATTTAGCTTTAATTTTAAATATGTTGAGTTTACTATTTACATTATTCGGACTATTGTCTTTGTCGCCATATTTATTACAACGTTTCGGCCGTTGTACGCCCCGGCCTTCTTCAGGTGGTTGGAATGTCGAACTGAACCCTTTATTTCGCTCGCTGGAGTAGACTGTTCTAGTTCCATGTGGATAAAGGCGTTAGTCAGATCCAGTGACAGGACCCGAAGAGTGCGAGTTCGATACCTGGTTAATGCGATGGCGAACTTGGAGAGGGGAATTAACAGGAGATAACTGATAACAGACATCCATTAGACATGGCACGTGGAACTACAACAGTTTACCACAGTGAGCGAAATAAAGGGTTCAATTCGGCATTCCAACCACCTGAAGAAAGCCGGAGCGTACAACAGCCGAAACGTTGTAATAAATATGGCGACAAAGATGAAGACAATTGTCCGAATAATGTAAATAGTGTACATAATACCTCATCTCAGAAATATAGACAGATAATGATGAATTTAGAAAAACAAAGCGTACCCTATTTGGACTAATGTCTTCATTAATGCTATTATCACAATTCCGCTCTCCGGCCTTCTTCAGGTCTCTGTGAATCCGGGTATCCTACTGAACATTTCAAACAGAAATGTTTATTTATGCAGGAATATGTTTATGTCTTGCCTTATTTAGCACTGTTCATTTACTGCTCGTCCTGCTTCTAAATCTGTAGTACTTGACCCAAGGATTGAACTCACAATTACCATGTCATCAAATTCACGAATTGCCGTTTTAATTACCCCGTTTGACAATCCTGAACTTGGAACCTTAAACCTAATGTTCTTCTTCTTACCTGCTACTGACGTTGTTGTTGCTGATGCCGATGAACTCAGGAGGGTACAATAGTCGAAATGTTGTAATAATAACAAAGATAAAGAGATTAGTCCTAATGTAAATATTGATAATTCCTCATCTCAGAAATTCGGACAGAATACGCTGATGCAGACTTATACACAAACGGATTTTGAATTATTGATTTGTTTTTTACGGTTTGTCAACATTTTCATGTTATTTAAAGACAGAATGTTTGGGTTTTTTTTAATTGTAAGCACTTTTTGGAGTTAATAATGATTTAATGATACAAGACCTGGGAAGAAGAGATGGATTCATAACTTTTCCAAGGATATTTACGCGGTAGTGAATATAACAAACCCAACTGGAATTAGAACTCGGCCCTCCGATTTCCAATTCTACGCCGTTATCCTTTACACCAGGGGTTTTCAAACTGTGGTCCGCTGACCACAGGGGGTCCGCAAGAACAAGATAGGTATCCGTGAACAGCAAACACTTTTTTATGGGTGACGTGCAACTTATAAGCGCTTATAAATAACTTATAAGCCGATCATGAAATAAATTGGTTCAATAAACTATTTCATAGATTTGATATATTAATATAATTTGTATTTTAAATTGATAAAGATAATGGATTCTATTCATGCAGAGAAGGAACCAAAGGATTTGAATTTTGGATCTATTTTGCGATTTCCGGCTTTCTTATTGGCTGTTAGGCGTTTGCATTAATGCAAAATTATATGTTATATCCAGCAAATATTTATGTATAAATTTCATAAGCGTTTATAAGGGGGACCCTACGGTAAAGCCTGAAATATAAAGGGGTCCGCAAGTCAAAAAGTTTGAAAACCCCTGCTTTACACCATCCGCATTTGGCGCTCCTAATCGTTCACCCATCTAGGTACTGACCAGATTCGATGTTGCTTAACTTTGGTTATGATATGGTAACCGGTGTTTCAATGTAATGTGGCCGTAAGCCTTCTCTGAATAATAATCATTACCATGCTAGTATAAGAAAAGAGGCGTATTTCGAAACTGAATAAATTTGATGCATTGTTTTAACAATTTATCGAGGATTAGTCATATATTTATTCAACTACTATAATAGCCGTTGAATGTGATCACCACAACTTCCTGTTCTTTGTAGCCCTTGTCTTTTTGCTATCTCTCCGAATCCCTGTTCTGCTAACCCTTTGCAAAAGCTCTTTAGGTAGGTTATGTATTGCTTTTCTCTTTCCTTCTTACTTTACCATGAATGTAAAATATTCCAAGTCTTCTTTCCTCATTATGTGCCATAGAAATGTCAATTGCCTCTTTCTGATTCTAAGTATAAGTGTCATTTTTGTTTCCATTTTCTCTAAAATTCCATCGTGCTTAAGTGTTCAGGCCATTTTATTCTCAGCATCCTTCTGTAGAACCATGTTTCTGCAGCTCAAAGTCTTTTCTCCATAAAAATGTTCTAGCATTCACTGTCATATAGGATGACATAACAATACAATCCGAAGACGCAATGGGATAGCGGAAGATGCCTTCCAGAAGTAAGTCTCCACGTTATACATTACAAATCCGGCAAAAAGGGATTTTTTTTTTTTGTAATTCCATATCAATCCAGAAAATAAACTATCAAGGATTTCCACGGTTTCTATTTCTTTGTTATTTGTGAATTGACATGACTTCTCGAAAAAGATAGTAAACTTGCCTTCTTCAGTTTTGAATTCAGTTAGATTTCTCTTCAGTAGTTACCATCCAAGGCTAGAAAGCTAAGTCGGCTCTATTATTTCTTTCCACAGCTGGGGAGGAGACAAGAGTTGGATCCATCTCTTTCCCAAGATCATTAGAGTGACAGTAAACACAATAGACGAGGACGAATCTTAAACTCCACTTTTCGATTTCGCTTTCCGCCCCCCCCCCCACCTGCATAACTCTTACGTCACCGGTAAATCCTTAAAGGCAAAAAAAAATGATGATTTTTAATTAAAAAATAATATTTCTATATCTCATCTTTTTTTGTTTCTTTTCATTTTCCCTGTTATTTTCTATTTTACATTTAAAAATGTATGAAAGTTTTAGAAATAAATATCCTATTATAATTGTACTCCTCCATCCCTCCATTAGTTCGCACGACCGTTACACCCTGCCAATACTTCATAAATAATGGACTATTCCGTTTTAATCTCGTGGAAAGAGGGAAAAAGACACTACTTGGTTTCAGTGAGAAAATGAAGCAAAAAATGGAAGATAGAAGTGGGAAAAGAGAATCAGATAAACCTGATAACAACAGATACTACACATTGATCTAAGCCAAATGTAATTGTATTTTATTGCCGTCCCACGCTGGCAGGATGTGGTGCAAGGTCAGTTTAATGCTGGGACCTCTGTGCGTGCACCCGGGCCAGGACAAAAAATAGCTGTCAGTTGTATTGGTGTCGGATTTACTATCGATCCCCCTTCTTTAGTGCCATGTGTTTGTGGGGCTGGTGCTGTCGCGGACAGCTGTTTCCTGAAACCGGATACCTCTCAAAATAGTATTTTCATTTTCGCTTTGTCCGTAGACAAAGACACAACTGAGAGATGAAATCTAGTTTATCCACTCGAGGGCATATACTGCACTTTGATCCGAGCCAAAAGGCCGAGAAGCAATTGTATTTTTCAGCGCGCCCACGTTGCTACCGAAGGTCGAAGTATAGAGTTTGTTTACCGGCAATACCGTGAAAAAATCGCCCAAGCCCTCTCGGCACTTTACCTTTTGGGGACGCCTCAGGCGCCGGGCAACAAACCCAGCCCCACTCCTGTAATAGAGTTATTGCCTGGGGGTAAGAACCCTTGGGGCTTGGGCTTAAAAATGTTCAACCTTTCCATCCCCCCAATAAGGCCCAGAAGCGATAGCAATCTCGATGAAAAAAAAACTCCATTTTTCAGACGCACAATATCAAACGACTGAAACCGACTAAGGCAATCACCAAAAATACAGTTACCATCAATTAAATAACATGGTATGCTGAATTATTTTTAGATTATTATTAAGAGAAATGTGCGTCAGACGGAGATTTAGCTGGGATTGTATAAATAAGTTTCTATAAGTCTTATACTGTCAGTAATACTGGCTTTAAAAAGAATATAATATAAATTATTAATTAGTTATCAAAATATATTTTCAACAGAAAGCACATTTTTCAAAGAGGCATTATATTATTCAAATATTATCGGCACGGAAACATTTATTCGCAATATTAGTCTTATTATTCCCCTTAATACTTGTTAGAAGGACAGTTAGATTAATTGTGAATTAACTTAAGTGTTTGCTATATTTGGAGGGTAGAGGGAGAAGTTGTCAATTGAGCCTGACTCCTCATTGGCTTCTTTTCCAGCCGATTAGTCTCCATCATCAGATGCCGTCTGCTACTTCTGGCCATGCCGAACGAGAGCCGTTTGCGTTTCTGACACCGATTGCCTGTTTCAAACACAAGTGGCTTCCATATTTCCACTCCATAGTGAACGCTTTACCCTCGTTTGTACTTCCCATAATCCCTTCCACAAAGACCGCTTCATCCTCATTCTCTTTTTCTTCTCTCCATCTTGTTAGTTTTTACAGGAATATTCTTTCAAAATAACGGGCGAAATAAACCCAGAAAAAAAATGTAAAGTTTAACACTATACGTTTATGAAATTCTGAATATGCGCATATGACTATACATTACTTGATAGATAGATAGATAGACAGACAGACAGATAGATAGATAGATAGGAAGAGACAAAGAAAGAAAAACACACAGCCAACCAGACATAGATAGAGCGAGCGGGGGTAGATATACCCATTATATTACTCAGGGCATCTCGGCGTGGCGTAAAGGTCAGCAAGCTTGTCATGCTAGGTCAGTTACTACTGAAAACTGAGTTCGATCCTCACTTGATGCCCCATGTTTTCGGCCGTGTGCCACATCTAAGCTAAGCTTGGAAAATCTTTTGGGCACCTCGATGTGGTGTAATGGTTAGCAAGTTTGTCTCGCTAGAACAATTACTACTGAAAAGTGAGTTCGATCCTCACTGGATGCCCCATGCTTTGAAAATCTTTACCCATTATATTACTCTACAATTTCAAGAATTAGAGACACACACAGACAACACACAAGATTTATGGCACACGTGCATACATATATACATTCATACTGAAGTAAACCTGACAACTTCTCTTGAAAAAGACCTCCAACCTGTGGTTAACTGGAACAAGATATGGCTTATAAATTTTAACGCCTCTAAAACAAAACTGTTTTCATTTAATCACCACCTTTTCTTCTGCCATCGGCTCAAGTTGAGCAACACGTCTTCTTGTTCTCACGTTTTCCACTGACTTGATGCAGAGTGAATATATTGAATCAACTTCTACCTCTACTGCAATAAAAGCTGGGTCACTGTCGTGCCACAATTTTTTTTCTCGTCAGAATCCATCTTACACATTTATAAATCTGCCATTCATCCGTGCATTGAATATTGCTGCTATATCTGCTATAGTTTAAACTTAGAATAAATAATATTCGTTTAGATTAAGATTAATTATACTTTAAATCAGCTAATATTCCTCATTTAAAGTTTCGGAAAAATATTATTTCATTTTTATAAGATGTTTTTAATAAAGCGAATTACATTGTGATAAACGCGGTTTAAAAATGGTGCTGAAATCAGAATTTTTAGAAAAAAATCCTTCCAGTCAATTTGAATTAATTTGAAATAGAACAAAGTGTTTTGCTTATTAGAAATAATAAATGTAATCAATTAACTTGAAATTAAAACTAAAATGAAAGCTTTAGGAAAGATTTTTCATTTTGGAAAAGTCATTATAAACCTTAGGTATCGCGAATGAATCCTATATATATATATATATATATATATATATATATATATATATATATATATATATATATATATATATATATATATTGTGTATAATTAGGCAACAATTTTTCATTGATGCATGTTTCATTAAATAATATAAACAAGTTTTGACTATTTTAAGTAAGTTCCTTTCATATTGTCTGCTAAGCTTAATAACATTATCATTGAAAGACGAAGGAAATCACACACACACACACACATATATATATATATATATATATATATATATATATATATATATATATATATATATATATATATATAAAGTAATGTATTTTTGTTTATTAATTAGACATATTTTTTATCACTTTAAACGTTACTTTTAGTGAATACCCATATTTGAGTTGGGGCTCCGTTTATTTTTTAAGTATATTTTATTTTCTACAGTCTGTTCATTTTTACTTATATATATATATATATATATATATATATATATATATATATATATATATATATATATATATATATATGAAAAAAATTATTTCGCCTTTAAACGGTCGTTGGCAGGATAAATCTGGAGAAAGCAGTATTTTTTAATTAATGCGCTCAATATCAAGGGATAATGCATTAATTAATAAATTAAGTTTAATCAATCTTAATTAAATTTGTTCAGCCATGACTGTCTCTACATTGAGTGTAGCAGAATTGCATCCACACTTAAAGTCTCCTGAAGAGTGGATACTATTTCGCGAAACTTAGAGTAGACATTGTCATAAGATAAGTGAACAAAATTATTTTATTTATTTATTATATAGAGTGGGTGCTGAAAATTGCTCGACCCGATCCACTTCCCAAAATTTGACCTAATGTCGAAATATCAGAATCATGCGGAAAGGGCTTCTTGCTCAGGCCAAAAATGTTTCAGCTTCACTCGTATTTCTAATATATTTTTTGCGCTTGCATACATAGTCTATTTATGTACACCTACAACACACATACTTACTTCGAGAAAAACTTATTTATACATACATTTCCTACGTACACATTATGGCTTTCTAACATGGTTGCCCACTTTCCGTTCTTCTCAATTCATTTGACTGCACAGCGTCTCAGAGAAAACTACCAAATGACTAATATGGCCACCCACATCACCCAAGTTCCTGGTCGTCGTCGTCGTGAAACAAACCTTCCAAATGTCGAAGATCTGTACGAATGCGTTTTCACTGAAATTGGAAATTTGATAAGGTGAAATCTAGTGTGAGAGAGTGGCACGAAATATAATGCTATTTTCAAAAATACGAAGCCTTTATACAGCTTCCACCAGCGTAGAGTGAAGGCTCTGCGCACTCCGAAAGATTTTACTAGTGATAGCAAAGGTGATAGCTACAGAGTGGCCGTTGCTCGTATAGGTGGATGTTTGATACGAACGCAGTGGTGGAGAGATAAGACCTGGACAACACTGATGGCAAAGGCAGACGACAGGACGAAGGAGCGGTGATCCAAGAGGCTATCGCTGCTGACTGGGGTGGGATCTGTGCTTGCCTGTTTGCAATCGTTCAAGGAAAACCAGTATAGATTATTACTGGGAAAAGGAATTTATGGAAATAACGGACGGCCCAAAAGGTCATCACCGAAGAAAGAGCAGATTATGATTAAAGCAAATACTTGACAAGAAACCTTCTCCAAAATTCGACATTGACGGAGTAAGATGGATCATTAGAAAAAGTCACTCCTCTCTCTCTCTCCCTCTCTCTCTCTCTCTCTCTCACTCTCTCTCTCTCTAGTGGTGCACGCGTTATAGACAAAGATTCCTCACAGTTTTGAAACAATGTATGCAACCAGCCATCTCTCTCTCTCTCTCTCTCTCTCTCTCTCTCTCTATATATATATATATATATATATATATATATATATATATATGTGTGTGTGTGTGTGTGTGTATATTGGCCTGCTACGCGTTTCCGAGCGCACACCTTTGCAATCCCTGTTGCAGACACCTGCTCAAGCTAATATGTGTTTCTTCAACGGCCACAGTATCCACCTATACACTATACTGCAACTATACGGAGCGGAACTTAATTACCATTTCTGGAAGAAAGAGCATGATTTGATATGATCAATAGTTTGGACAAGGCCAATACCCTTAAAACTGAGGACATTTCATTTCATACCATCGAAGGTTTCCCAATTTCAATCACATAGCTTGGGTCAAACTGTGCTATGGTTTTTCAGTCAATCCTCAATGGTACTGCACATTAGGATCGCTTGTTCCTACTGATAATGTCAAGACTTTACCGCCCTGACAAGTCGACTATGCTCCAATTCGAACCATAATTTCATGGTCTGAAAGTGAACATTCTAATAACCCATACAATAATATACGTGCACGTCTCTCTCTCTCTCTCTCTCTCTATATATATATATATATATATATATATATATATATATATATCTTCAGATGTTATTTTTTGGGGATACACATGTTTGAAATCGCCACATTTTTTTTTTATTTATTTTAAGCACTGACGAAAGCTTTTCAGGACTCCACTATATATATATATATATATATATATATATATATCCCTACATGTATAAATATCTTGAAATGTTAGCATCCTATTTAGTTTCCTTCTGTACACACACACACACACACACACACACACATATATATATATATATATATATATATATATATATAGAGAGAGAGAGAGAGATAATGTATAAAAGTGTATGACAGTGAGAGATTTCGGTAGGCTTTTGGGGATATGTTGAGGCCTATCAATTTAAAGTAATTATTTATTTCGCCACAAGCAAGGTGATAATACCACTAAGACGCCAGGGTTTACTAAGAGTGAAAATATTTTGGTGAGGAGAATGGACAAAAAAAGAACAGGATTCATGAAAGACAGAAGATGCTGATGAAACTGTCCGAATGTTCTTTATAACCGAGCGCTTTCGGTTATACATTTAGCCATTTTCAAGGATTAAATATTTTCACTGTTAAATGAGAAACATAAACAATAACATTAATATTTTTTTTATAAAAATCAAATGGACGAAAATTATAAACAAGACGAAAGTAAGAACATTATAAAAAATGCCAGTTGACAATAGCAAAAAAATTAGATTAGTTATTTATTACAAAAAATTTAAAACTTCTAACCTTATACTTAAAAATAATAATTCACTTCTCAGAACAAAATTAAATAGGGCAAATATTTTTTACGAATTTAAATGACCATTAAGGATTTGTATTCCTGATCAATGAAAATTTGAAAATAATTATATGGGCTACACTACAACATGCTTGACATACAGACTCACTCTACACCTTTTTAACCATAGCTCAATTAGATCTCATTTAAATATTCATGGAGACCTACCGGACACTATTCGTAACATACTTGTTGACAACACTAATATAATAGCATCATCTACATGCAAAAAAGGCTAAAAATAATGGAAGCCTTATTAATAAAAACAAATAAAAACAACACTTAATAATATCAACTATGAACATGGACACAATATCTTGACCGTGTTTTAAAAAATGAAATCATTTTATAAAACAAACATACAACAAACTATTTCTTATTTAACAGTTAAAATATTTAATCCGTGAAAATGGCTAAATGCAAAGCCGAAAACGCTCGGATAAAATGAACATCCGGACAGTTTTTATATAATTTATCATCCGAAAAGAAAAAAAATTAGATCGCATGAGAAATTGTATAAAAAAACTAAATAAAAGGACATTGTCTGTCGTATGCAATGAAATGTGCATAAAAGAAGGATTGCTGCCTAAATACACACACACACATTATATATATATATATATATATATATATATATATATGAGAATTAATGGATGTAGTTTTAATCCGATATTTTTACTACTTCAAACGTTATTTTTAGTACCTAACCGTATTTTAGAGGACGCCACTGATTTTAAACTATGTCTATTACGTCTACCGGCTTCCGTCGTCGTGAAAACTTAATAAAGAGAATAGTAAGCCAAAGTTTTTTTTTCCTGCCGTAGCACACACGCAGGGACCGGTAGACATAATACACACTCTTTAAAAATGCGGTGTGTCTATTTCAATAAGGGTATCCACTAAAAATAATATTTGAATTTATATATATATATATATATATATATATATATATATATATATATATATATATATATGAAAAAGAAGTTGAAAATGCAACTGGAGTTTTTAAAGTTATTTATTTACAGTAACTTTATCCGTTTCACTGTTCTATAATTTTCAAAAGTTAAACTGAGATGGAGAGCAGTATTGATATGTCACGATATATCTCGCATCAGATGCATTTTTAACTTCTTTTCCGTATATTTTTACCCATGTGCGATAAAAAAAACCTATATAGTAAAATAACCGTCCTCTTCTATCTATTTGGAAGTCACTCAACAAATATCTTTGTACATCCCTCCATACATATATCGCTTGTAAACCTTATCTCAATAGATTATTATAAAATAACGAAAATATGTGACAGCATAGTTCATCATTGATCACTTTCTTCAAAGCCAAATGAAGCGAAAAATTCTTTAAATATGAAATAAAAACTTTCATCTTCAACTTTAAACGAGTGAAATGATTGTCTATATAACGAAATTCGAAAGAAATTAAATGAATTTGTCGTCAGATGAGGACTTATTTTTTAAGTTCCTTGACGAAACAAACTTAAAAAAAGAAAATGAGAAAGAAAAAAGCGAAAGAAAATGAAAAGAAAATTGTTTATCTTCGCTAAAAATTCCAAGTTCGTTTAGAAAACTTAATTTGCTTGCATTAGTTGCAACTGATTTGTTCATTATTTACGACACGTGAACAAGAGACTTGCCACTGACGGCAAGAGAGCTTAAAGAGGCATTTGCTGCGTCTCGCTTTGCCGACTCAACTTCCGGTCGATTTCAGTTGGCGATTATACTTTCATTGTCAGCCCTCGGCACTTTTTTCCAACCATTTAACGTGTCTTCAGCCAATACAATTAAGATATATAGACACGCAATTTCACCTCAATCATCTTAGTTTAAATAGTAGGAAACACAAAGATGTCTTTAATTTCATTAAAATAATTGATCCTTTCTGATTCGTTCAGAAATTAATTTATTATTTGAAATTACATGCAACCCATATCCGTTGTTTTGTTCTTCCTCTTAAGTTAAATTATTACTTATTTATACAAAGAAAACATAAATTTGTAACTTGAAGCAAAGAGTTTCTAATAATATTAATTCCTGTTTAAATGTCTCCTCTGGGAAATACGGTTTGTAAGAAATGTAATTTAATGTTTAAAAATGCAATAAATTCAGCTTCACTTTGAACATATATTGTTGAATGTTCAAAAAATCTGAGGTCATAAGACTGTGTGTTTTGATATGCATTGGGTTTCTTTGCTAATATTCAACTATATTTTCAGGTAATATTTTAATTATTATATATATATATATATATATATATATATATATATATATATATATATATATTATTTGTATATATATATATATATTTTTATATATATATATATATATATATTTTGTATATATATATATATATATATATATATATATTTAATATATATATATATATATTTGTATATATATATATATATATATATATATATATTTGTATATATATATATATATATATATATATATATATATATATATATATTTGTATATATATATATATATATATATATATATTTGTATATATATATATATATATATATTTTTATATATATATATATATATATATATATATATATATATATTTGTATATATATATATATATATATATATATATATTTAATATATATATATATATTTATATATATATATATATATATATATTTATGTATATATATATATATATATATATATATATATATATATTGTGTGTGTGTGTATATATATATATATATATATATTTGTATATATATATATATATTTGTGTGTATATATATATATATTTGTGTATATATATATATATTTGTATATATATATATATTTATGTATATATATATATATATATATATATTTATATATATATATGTATATATATATATATTTTTCCATATTTGTATATATATATATTTATATATATATATTTATATATATATATTTATATATATATATTTGTGTATATATATATATTTATATATATATTTGTATATATATATATATATATATATATATATATATATATATATATATATATATTTGTGTTCGTGTGTGTGTGTGTGTGTGTACAGGCAAATTTTATCGGTTTGTATAATTTTTATTGTATCTTTCCAATTTTCTAATAAAATGTATATTGGGATCGAAATTGTGGATAAACATTCCGAAACTCATGCTTGTTCTTTTGTTTTTGTTCAAAGAACTCATAAAAATGAAAGCAAAAAAGTCACTTGTATTTAAAATCAGAATAAGACAATTGAAATTTCAGCAACACATTATGAGGAAAGTCGGCTTGGAAAATTTGACACTCAGAGGACATATCAAATCAAAGCGACAGGCCATTTAAGGGACATGTTTGTCTGAACCGATGGCGGAGCAGAGGGTGGAAGGAATGGCCAAGGAATAGGAAGATGTGGAGAGACATGATGATCCACGTCCGGAATGATCACTGTGCGAAGAAGAAGAAGAAGAAGGAGGAGGAGGAGGAGACTTTCGACGGTTTCGGTCATTGTCAAGAATCTCTCACGTTGACTGTCCTTATATGGAATCTCGACTTCTGGCACTTTCTCACCACCCAGACGTGGCTTGCCTCTGTCTTTTCTACAAATATTTTCATAGCAATTATTTCTTTGCATTTTTTTATCTCGACCGCATAAAGCTTAGTACTAGATTTGGCAACTAGGTTTTATTGTTTTACTGTCGAAATAAATGTAACCGTAAGTGCTATTCTAATAGTATAATAGTGCTATTCTAATAGTATAATACTATTCTAATTTCCCGCCTATGGAACTTTCCTCTGCTTTGTTGCTTCCCTGCCACCTACAATTTTCAAAAAAATTAAATGCAACAGCAATTCTGTCTCCTTAATTACACTTTTTTTATTGTCCTATCAACTTAATAACATCTTAGCATTTGCTTTCATTCCCAGTAATCGCTTGTGTTTTAGTGGCATTTTCCCCTTGGATGGAGTTAAATTATTAAAATATTACGAAAATATTTGTAATATAAAGATAGATAGACAGACAGACAGATAGATAGATAGATAGATAGATAGATAGATAGATAGATAGATAGATAGATAGATAGATTTGGACAAGCTGTTGTGCTGATCGGATTTTCAACAGTTTCATCTCTTTATCTGTTTTTTGTTCAAATTACGGTGGGGTTGCGTATGTGCCATGTGCCTGTTGGCGCACACCAGAAGTGTGTGTGTGTGTGTGTGTGTGTGTGTGTGTGTGTGTGTGTGTGTGTGTGTGTGTGTGTGTGTGTGTGATGTATGTCACATCAACTAAACAGCGCATCAGTGCACTCCGCGTTCTGAGCATAATAAATACGTACATAAATGTGGTTTTATAAAAATATAAATAGATTATAGCACATGGCCGATGTTAAAGTGGGAATCTCATGCGTACGTAGGATTGGTGACAAAAATTGCTCGCCTTTCCCGGCATTTCCCGTTTTGTATGCCGCGAACACCAGGGCCTGACCTTGAAAGCTCCCACCCTTTTAGTACAATTGGAGAGCTGCCTTGTTGGGTGGAGAGGGGACGCACTCCCTGGAGATTAACATAATAATAAATGTACATAAAATATGGGATTTTATCATGGCATTTATCTACCCACCCACTCGAACGGGGCATGACACATGGTCGTGGAAGTCTTGCATGTTCATGGAACAAGCGATAGAAATTATTCTTCCTTTTAGCGACTCTTCAGGTATCATGTATTAACACTACCCCTCTTCCTTAGGAGATGCGTTGCCTTAGAGGATACTGACCATGGTACTGACCATAAAAATTATCGCAAATCTGCATAAAACGAGGATTTATTACTTATATCTAACAGCATATATCTTACATTTACAAACTGCTTAATTAATTTTCATATTCAGATTTTTTTTTTTAAATTGAATAAACTCTTTAAAAAAAAAATAACTGATTTATTATTCATTTCCAGTTTGGACTTCTGTGATCTTTGTAAATTTTCTGATGGCGCTTATAATCAAATCACTTAGTTATTGAAATAAAATCAATTTCTCCCCTGGAAATGGCAATAACTTCAGCATTTAGATCACAGCTTGTTAGTAAGCAATATATTGAGGAAGTGAAGCTATGTTGATATTTGCATGATAAAATCCAAAAATTATAGCAAAAACTTATAAATCAAAATATGAGATTCCATATATATCAGAATAATTAAAATTATTTTACTGCTTACCAGAATTTCCTGAATACCATTTTACGGTATATAGAAGATTTTTCCCAGAAACGGTGACATAGCATAGCGAAGTAAAGTAACTTCATCGGCACAACACCTAGTGTTATCGCTATTAAAATAAAGATATCAAACAAAATGCAAACGACAGACATAAGACATTTATAGATACAAAATATTTACTATTCGGAATATTGTTGCGTTGCGTGTCGTCTCTGGATTGTAGCGTTTATCGGAAATTCCTCAGGCTGAACACCAACGCTGAACCAGCCTGAATCAATGAAAGACTTTCTTACGGAGCAGATGCCGTTTCTTGGAAGCTAGATGGGGAGGGAGATTAGGAGAACGGATATTAACAGGTTGGCTAGCTACATAACACCTTCAGGTGGTAGCTTGTATCTCTGTTAAAAGGACGACACGCAAAGACATCTTGTGAGCGGGAAGGTCTGATGAGCGCCAGAGCCAGTGACTATTGAAAACTGACCGGTTTCGCGTGCTTTTCGATATTTTTTTTTAAGCATTACGCCCCGAGCAAGGCGTGCAGCCACTAGGATGCAGGGGGTTGTAGAAGATTTGGAGCGAGAGCAGATAAGAGTGATAGAAGAAAGGATGAGGAGAAGGATAGTGGGTAGATCAAGGTAACTGGAGGTGTCGATTGACATTACATTTGAATAGTTGGAGATTATAGCTTTCAGAGGAACAGTAATTGGGAAGGGTGTTCCACAGGCGAGAGGTGCGAGGTATGAAGCTATTGGAGTAGAAGAGATGGCTACATTTAAAAATTTATATAGTGTAAGGGTGGGAGCGCAATGCCAGCCTCGTAGGGCGCTTGAATTCATGGAGTCTGTGAACCAGTGAAAGCAGCTCATCGGAGCAATTTCCATGAAAGTAGTTGTAGAAAAGACAGAGAGAGGCGACGGCGCATCTGTGAGAGAGTGACTGCAGACGAGACGCCAGATCAGGGCCAATTAGATTACATATCCGTCTCTGGATCTTGTCAAGAACTCCGGGGTTATATTAAAGCTTAAACAAAAATAATCCGTCACTCTCAGAATTCCTGCCTACCCCGTCACAGTTCGGGTCGTTAGAGTTCTAACTAGCACGGTAGGGTTTGCCTAATCACCTTCTGTAATTATTCCTGATTTAATACGACCTATTTGATTTGTTCTAACTACTTTAACAGACGTGGTTTTATTTAATAAACTATGCTAACATGTTATATACTCATAATAGTTTTGTTCTTTTAGAAATACTTAATTCTTGGCATACTTTTGTCCATTTTACATGTGTAATATCCACAATGAATGTGAAAAATAGAACAATTTTTTAGATAAAAATAAATCAAACGCTGGTATATAATTTTTTAAATATAGTTAATCAGATAAATATTAATATATCCCTTACCTCCGCAAATATTGATTTCATTTGAGAAAAAATATTGACTCTAAGAAGAGGAATGTTGGAGTTGGAATAACATCATTGAATGTCCATAAGAAAAACCGATTTTTTTTCTACGTGGTCTAGGTTCAAATACACTCGAGGCTAAAATAAATTGTATTTATTGTTTAATTTTGCCCTACCACCAGATTTTCCTATGTCTGTATATACATAATCAAAATTATAAATAAAAAGTTTAATATGTAATTAATAAATGTGATATTACATGTTACACGACTAAAATATACATTTAAAATTTAAATTGTTACTCTTTTCGAGAGTAACACTTTATTCAATAAATCGATGTTTTGAGATGACTCAATGAGAAAATCATCTTCTAATTCTAGATAAAAAAAAATAGTGCTATTCTAATAGTATAATAGTGCCATTTTGCTTAATAACAGTGTCGGTAACAAATAGATAAGATTACCTTAGCTTGAGGTAATGGTTAATGAGCTAATCTGGTTAATCGTTATTGCTGCTTAATGAGTTCAATCATCATTGTGTAGTCCATAATTGTCCCCGTGTGACGAAATAAGCTAAGGTTAGCAATTATAAAGAAATAATATTTGAGGGTGCATCGGAATATGATGATATTTAGCAAGCTAGTCTAATTGATCAATACACCTGAGAGGTGGGCTTGATTATCACTGGGTGCTCCATACATATCGCTTTATTCCAAAATAAGCTAAATTAAATAAATGATTTGGAGTTCCTCAATGCAGAGTATTGGTTTACGAGCAAATCTTGTTGATTATTGCTACTGAATAGTGATTTCGATTCTCACTTGTACCAAAATAATTTTAAGCATTCTATATCACATTCCAAATGAATTTACTAATAGAAGACAACGATTCTACTTTCCCTCCCAAGACCAATGTACTGATAATGAAAGGAGATATGCTGAAGGAATGTATATTCATATTTAGGATAAGAATTATCTTGAAGAGAAAATCATTATCCTCTACCAAGTATTCTATGAAAGATAATCATTTCCAAAACAGAAACTATGATCTGGAACGGGAATTAAAACATCATAAAAAAATTAGGATGTGTATTTAGCAAATACTAAATATTTCCAATTCCTTAGTTCATGAATAACTTATAACAAATTTAGCATAGGCGATCAGGAAAAGGGTTATAGAATGGGCTGCGCTAGAAGAAGTTTTGCCAAGACCACAAATGGCTACAAAATCAAAATATTAACCTAAAAACACGAGTCATGTTTTTAAATAGCCTCGTCAGATCGAAACTTTCATATGAATGCTACGCATGGTGCAAAGCCCGTTCACAAATATCTAAACTGTCAACTGTATACAACCGCTTTCTAAGATCGATGATTAAAATGACTTTGAACGAGTAAAGCCTGTGGATCTTGGCGAAGGCCAAACTTCTTCAAACCGCGTGGGTTGGCGTTACACGAACAAAGAACCCTGCCAAATAACAAAAACCACATCACTTGATGACTTTCAACAGCGGCAACAGCTAAAATGGATATCACAT